TACGTTTTCGGTCCACTTGGCCGAATAAATGATGGATTATCCGTGGTATGTAGAACACTTTAATTTTAGGATTGTGGAATTGCGTTCAGTTGAAATGCTTAATAATCCACGCATGAGGAATGTGTTTCAAATTCAATTTAACATACCATGAAGACATTTGTGGAGGATAACTCGTTAATTTAAAATATGGATTTATTTTCCATAATCAGCAACTCACTCCTGAAGTAGGTGTTAGAGTAAATAAACTTCTGGGTTGTGTCTCAAACTTTGCTTGTCTGCGCTTGGAATTAGAAAAATTTGGAATAATTCCAAAACGGACGTTCCATGTTGAATTAAACTTTATTCATAGTTTGATGCTACACTGGTTTGCAGATTTAATGAATGTAACCGAAGAAGTTACAATTCATGTTATTCCTTACATACAGGGTGTTACTGAACCCATCAAGAGAATTTAGAATAACCACAACGTTAAAGTTGCTCAAAAACCTTTGCAGACTTTGGGGCATATTTTCGCCAAACCTAAGGATCCTGTCACGAAAGAACAACGAACCGACGCCATCTATTCTATTCCTTGCAATGACTGTGACAGCGAATACATCGGACAGACCAAACACCAGTTTGGTACACAGTTAAAAGAGCGCCAAAAAGCGGTTTTTCTTTGCAAAAAGGAAAATTCAGCTTAAATCTGCAAACCAGTGTAGCATTAAACTATGTATGATCTCTCCCGATTAGCTCGAGAATAAAGTTTAATTCAATATGGAACGTTTTGGAATTATTCCAAATTTCAGGGTCCTCTCTTCCTGCCAGAAAGAAAGTTTGAGACTTGTCATGTGTCTCTCAGAATTTAGTAAGGGCCCATGTAGAAAATCTTTTGTCACTACTAACTGAATGGGTCAGGCGAACATATTTAAATATTTTTTGGTTCGATCTACTTTTAAATTAACGAGTTACTACTTTCGGGGTTTGATGAGAGGAGGTTTTTCGATTACGGATGTTACTTTCTCTCAAGTATATTCAGTGCCCATTTTATGTTTTTAAGTACATTTGCAGTGTCCTGTTTCTCGATCTTGTTTGTATCTTTTCCACACCTTTCTCATCACTGATTTGTAATTTACTTTGGATTGAATTGGTAAACATCAGCTCTGGGAACTTGTCTAAAATCACTTGATAATTTTTTCAATGATCCAGCCTCTATGGATGTTAGTGGCCAACCACTCCACAAATTTAGTGATATGTCTCCTAGTTTTAGAATGCTATTATGTCATCAGGTTGGATGGTATAAAGCAGATTTCCAGTTTCTTGTTGAGCTTAAAAGGGTTTTTTTCTGTCCTGGGGGGTTGGGGAATTTGAATCTTGTGTGGGTGGGGTGAGGAATTTGAACTAGAATCATTAAGTCTTTCCAGCAAAATAGACATGTTTTATAAATTAATATGGAGGTGTTTAACAGTATGAAGTTTTCAAATGCTCGGGGGTTGTCAGGAGGGTGGAAAGGATGTTGAAACTTCAAATTGATTGATGCATTACTGACTTTGCTGCAGTTCAAAATGATGGACAAGCATGAGATAGATAGATAGATAGATGACCTTTATTTATAATGGATAATATTTTAAGCTACAAGCTTGTGGGGTTGTGTGAAGAAAAAGGAAAATTACATGTTATATTGAGATAATTTGAATTTGAAAATAGAAAATGATATATATCATAACTTCTAAGTATAAACAAAGTTGGTATGTGTAAGATGAGCTTTAGAAGCAGAAAGTATGTCAAATTCTAATTCCTTAAAGTAGTCTTTGGTGAGTAGGCATTTTTTCAGATTATTGAGACTTGAGTGTCTAACTTCTTATTCATAGTAGCAAACAGTGTTCCATTACTCAGCACCGCAATATTTAGGAAAGTCTTTCATGTATCTTGTTTGGAACCAGGGTACTATTAGAAAGGTCACGTTCCCTCAGAAAGTAACCATTTGAGCAACATTTAAGGATGTTTTCAGACAGGAATTTGGGGAGAGTGGCATCATAGCTTTTGTGAGAAACAGGCCAAGGTATATTCAGTTTGATATTCTGTCATAAATGTGGAAGAGAATTGGAAAATAATGAGTAATAACACACTAAAGAGAGGTAGATACTTCAGCAGATGAGAAATTTGCTATAGAGCATTGCTTTAAAAGAGGATTTTGACCATCATCTGTGTTTTGGTAAAATATCATGGTATTTCTATCAATGTGAAGACTTTAAAAAGAAGGCTCGGTCAGTTTAGGTTGCAAGGAAGAACTCAAGTTCATTCAGAGTATACTCTGCAGGAAATGATGCAACATCAATTTCAAACATTTTTCTGGATTTCCTGACAAAAATTATTTGATCACAAATTATTTTTGAGTATTTCAAAAAAATTATTTGTGGATCCAATAATTCAATCACAATTCTTAATTGTTTTTTTAGACTTGAAAAACTTTTTAAACCACAATTTGAACTATTTTTGGATTTGAAAAATATATTGGGATTTTCTTCTGTTGCTCTTAGTAGAATCTTGTGGAAGAATTGTGATCTCTGCAATTGTTTAACCCTTTAACTCCCAGAGGTGATTAACTTGTTACTTCTCCCAATGTAATGCATACATTATCTAGCAAACACGTAATGAGAATTCTCAATCTCATCAGGTAGAAACTGATATCTTGATCTAACACCAAATTCTTGTCACTAATTTACAAGGAAATGTGTAGTTGCCACAGGAAAGAATTAACAATCAGATGTTTGAAGTTAAAGGGTTAAATTACAATGTAGTACCTTTAAGGATTATTTCTGCAAAGGAATTTCATCCACAGGTTAAAGTGAAATTTATTTCATTAAAAATTTCAATAATTTTTTTTGGATGTTATTTAAATGGCTCTCTGTCCCTAACCTCTGACTTTTATAACATGCCTGTCCAAATGCAGAATAGGCGCTCTATTTAAACATTATGTTCTTTCTTTTGTTTTTCTTTATCTGTTTATGATGTATGAAGGAGGTGGTGTTCAGATGACTTGCTATTGGTATGTTCTGATATCACTAAAATTGTTGTCAATTGTCTGTTTTTGAGAGTTTTAAATCGTCTGTTTACTTTAAGGTACCAAATTAAGGTGGGACTGGACACTAAATTCAGTAAATTTTGTCTCAAACTATTAAGAGAAATATTTACTGACATTTGTTGGAATGATTTGAAATTGTTACATGGGATATATGATTCTACACAATCTGGGAAAAAACTTTTATTTTGTTCAGTTGCATGGAATTTGTGGAATTTCATGGAAATAGGGTGTGTGTCTAAAAGGCCATTTTGAAGGAAAAAACTTCTCTGAATCCAAGCAAATTTTTAATACTGCTCAAAATGGTTTAATTTTGGCACATGCACAAAGATGATGGTGATAAAGACTGTCAGTGCAGTCTGCTAAGTAATATTCAATTTTGACAATTTTACAATCTCATACTATCTCATTCGGAAAATTTTTGCAGACTGTGGTATACTGTGCTGTAAATGTTCCTTGCTACCAGGAACCACAAAAATATGACATTGTGTGGGAATTAACAACTTTCAATCTAACATGGTGTGACAAAACAAAATCTGTGGTTATTTGCTTGCTTATGGTTGTGATGTGTTTCCAAAATTGGAGATTTCATCAAAATTCTAAGAATAAAAGGCTAAAAAAAAGTGTATTTGTGTTTTTGTTGCTTGGAAAGTGTAAGTAGTCAGCTACTGTAGAGCTCTTTCCTGAGTTCAATCCATGATAAGATAGCACTTTGTTTTTCATCATCACATTGTTACTTAGGAAATGGGTGTATCAGAAATGTCATCTAAAGGAAATACCTCGTGAACAGCAAACACCATTAGACCAGGATCTTATCTTTATTTGCAGCAAGATTTGTCCTTGGAAACAAAACTTCTCATTTCGAGAACAAGCTGTTTTCCAATTGTCATGTTTAACAAATAGGCAACTTAAACAAAGGTCAAGTTAGCCTCTGGTACTGAGAGATGAGAGGAGTTTTTTTTCATGACATCAATAATTATTATAGATGTTCCTTTCTCTCAAACATATTCAGTGCACATTTTATGTTTTTAAGTGCATTTGCAGTTCCTATTTTCTTGATCTTTTTAGTAATTTTTTCACACCTTTCACATTGCTGATTCATGATTTACTTTGGATTGAATCAGTGAACATCTGCTCTGGGGACTTGTTTGAAATCACTTAATAACTTTTTTAAATGATCCAGCCTCTATGGATGTGGCTAACCACTCCACAAATATAAATGTCTCCTAGTTTTAGAATCTTAGTTTCTTATTGAGCCACAACAGGCTAAAAAGGTTTCTTTTCCTCCCCTGGGAGGGTTGGGGAATTTGAATCTTGCCTGGATGGGGTGAGGAATTTGAACCAGAACTGTCAAGTCTTTTCAGCAAAATAGACATGTTTTATTTTTTAGTATGAAGGTGTTTAAAGGTATGAAGTTTTCAAAAGTGCAAATGCTTGAGGAGTTGTCAGGGGGGGCAGGAGGGATGTTGAAACTTTAAATTGATTGAAGCATTACTGAGGACTTTGAAAAGAAGGCTCAGTCAGTTGAAGTTTTAAAGAAGTGAAGTTCATTCAGAGCATATTCTGCAGGAAATGATTAAACTTCAATTTCAAACTTTTTTTTGGATTTCATGACAAAAGTTATTGGATCGCAAAGTATTTTTGGGTTTTCAAAAAAATTATTTGCAGTTCCAACATTTCAATCAGGATTCTTAATTTTTTTTTAGACTTGAAAAACTTTTAAACGACAATAAACTATGTTTTGGATTTCAAAAATATATTGGAGTTGTCTTTTATCGGCTTCAGCAGAATCCTGATCTCTGCAATTGCTTAAATTACAAGGTATTACCTTTAAGGATCATTTCTGCAAATATTGAATTTCATCCACAGGTCAAAAGGAAATTTATTTTATTGAAAATCTTAATATTTTTTTCTTATCATATATAACTGGTTCTCTTTCCACAATCTCTGACTTTTATAACATGCCTTTCCAAATGCAGAATAGGTGATGTATTTAAACATTCTTTCTTTTACTTCCTCTATCTGTTTAGGATGTATGAAGAAGGAGGTGGTCAGATGACTTGCTATTGGTATGTTCTGATTTCATTTAAATTGTTCCTGATTGTCTGTATTTGAGAGGAAATGATTCATTGTACAGTGCCTACTATAAGGTACATTTCCAAAACCAAATTAAGGTGGTACCAAACACTAAATTCAGTAAATTTTGTCTCAAATCATTAATGAAAAATTTACTGACAGATTTGCAGGAATGACCTGAAATTGTCACATAGGATATATGATTTTTTACACATATCTGGGAAAAAACTTTTATTTTGCTCAGTGCCTTGGAATTTGTGGAATTTCATGAAATCAGGGGGTGTGTTTAAAAGGCCATTTTGGAGAAAAAACTTCTCTAAATCCAAGCCAATTTTTAGTACTACTCAAAATGGTTTGGCACATGCACAAAGATGATGGTGATAAAGACTTTCAGAGCAGTTTGCTGAGTAATATTCAATTTTGACAATTTTACAATCCCATACCTTCTCATTTGGAAGATTTCACGGACCATGGTATACTGTGCTTTAAATGTTCCTCGTTACCAGGAACCACAAAAATATGACATGGTATGGGAATTAGCAACTTTCAATTTAACATGGTGTGACAAGATAAAATGTGTGGTTGTTCCCTTGCTTATGGTTGCAATGCATTCCAAAAAATGGGAAATATCAAAATTTGTAGAATAAAAGGATAAAAAAATATATTTGTGTTTTCATTGCTTGGAAAGTGTAAGTAGTCAGCTACTGTAGAGCTCTTTCCTGAGTTCAATCCATGATCAGTTAGTGCTTTGTTTTTCGTTATCACATTGTTACTTAGGAAATGGATGTGTCAGAAATGTCATCTAAAGGAAATACCCCATGAACAGCAAACACCATTAGAACAGGATCTTATCTCTATTTGCTGCAAGATTTGTCCTTGGAAACAAAATTTCTAATTTTGAAAGTGGGCCATTTTCCAATCATCACATTTTACAAATTGGCAACTTAAATGATGATCTCAAATATATGATAAAATGAAGGCTTCCCAAAAAGGTCAAGTTAGCCTCTGCTTCTGCCTTAACCCTTTACCTCCCAGAAGTGATTAACATGTAACTTCTCCTTATCATATCCATACATTATACAGCAAAAAGTTCATGAGAATTCTCCAACTTATCAGGTTGAAGTTGTTGTCTTCATCCAACAGCAAATTCTCCAAACTAATTCACAAGGAAAATGTATAGCAGCCAGAGATCAGAACTAACAATTGGGTCTTGGGAGTTAAAGGGTTAAGTGGTCTCAACAACACTCTAAGAGGAAATAGAAAGCTTATTAAATAGACTCAGTAAACTCACATTTTGTATTGTTTTTTTCCAGCATAATTTTTCAAAATTAAAAGCTTCCTGTGATGTCAAGGCTACAAAAGGTAGTAAGAGGAATCTAAATCTTTTACAAATACCAAACTTTGATTTTGACAAAAACATTAATTTATCCCCTTATTTTTTCACCTAAATGTCTGCAATGAAACTACACGTACCAATTTCAAAGTGAGTTGAAGAGGAAGACCCTTAAAGGATAATTTTCACTTTCCTTGTAACTGTAATGGTTGTTATCAGTGTAGATTTCTGAAGCAACTTAACATTTTCCTGGTTTAACTTTGTCTCAATCTACATGTATCTGACTCTTTGGCATAGGATAAAACTCAACTGCAAGTTTACAAAAGAATTGACATTACATATTGAGTGGACATCCATTATTGTGATTTATTATTGTTTTACAGTTTATTGTCAATACCATTCTTGTTTTGTTGTTGTAGGATTCCACCATTCCTAGTGTAGCCTCTACATCACAGGAAGACCAGGAAAGTAGGACACTGAAAGTCACTTTGCTAAGTAGTGAGTGGAGATCATCAACTGATGGGGACTTGTCAACTATCAACCGAGAGCTGGCCATCCAGTTAGCTAAACACCCTAATGTGGATGTTAGTATCTTGCTTCCAAATTGCAGTGGAGAGGACAGGAGCAGTGCTGAAAGTCATAATGTGAAGCTCATTGAAGCAGATAAAACTCCTGGTGTAGAGCCAGTTCTTTGCCTGTCATCTCCTCCAATAAACCATACAATGGACTGTGTCATTAGTCATGGAGTTCACCTTGGCCGACTAATTCCACTCCTCAAGAAAAATCCTAATTACAGTCATTGCAAATGGATTCAAGTTGTTCACTCTGCTCCTGAAGAAGATGGAATGTACAAAAACATTTCAGAAGGTGAAAAAATGCAAAAAACAGAAATCCAACTCTGTAAAATGGCTGACCAAGTTATCACAATTGGACCCAAGCTGGCAGAAGTTTACAAGCGTCACCTTTGTGGAGCTAAACAAGAAAAAAAAGTTTTTGACCTCACTCCAGGCATTTTCTCTGAATTTTTGGAAGTAGAGCAAGCCACTGAAGAAAGAGGAACATTCTGTATTCTTGTAATTGGAAGTGGTGACAGCTGTGAAGATTTCAATGTCAAAGGGTGCGACATAGCTGCCCAAGCAATTGCTGAGTTGAAAGATGAATCCTACAAACTCAAGTTTGTCTGCCCAGCTGGAGGAAAAGGAAATATTGTGGCAGAAAAGTTGCTCCACCATGGCATTAGTCGTAGTCAGCTTATTGTTCGCAGCTTTGATGATAGCAGAGAAGTGCTGGCTGACTTATTCTGTGAAGTGGATCTTGCAATAATGCCATCCAGGACAGAAGGTTTCGGAATAACAGCTCTGGAAGCGTTATCTGCCGGTCTGCCTGTACTTGTCAGTGGTAATTCTGGACTTGGAGAAGCTCTGAAGGAAGTGCCTTTTGGCTTACAGAGTGTGGTGAACTCTGAACATCCTAAGGACTGGGCCAAACGAATCCAGTATGTCCGATGGAGAAAGAGAGAAGTGAGACTTTTAGAGTCAAGTCTTCTTCGTGAAAAGTACTTGGAGCGGTATAGCTGGGAGGAGCCTTGTAAGAGTCTTGTGATAAAGATGAGGAACCTTGTCTTTGGTAAATTTATGTAAATTTATATGTTTCAGCCTGTACTTGTCTAATAACTGGTAAACCAGGTACAGTAAAAAGTTGAATCAGCCTTGAGTCAACTTGGACCTATGATAACCATAAATTTTTTTATAGACCTGAGTCAAACAAATAGTTAAAAATGGTAAATACTCAAGAAAGATAAACTTAATTGTTATGTAATAATCTTACCCACAAGATTTGGAACAGTGTTTCAGAGTTTTGAAACATGTACTTGGTAAAGTGCATTTGCATGGGAAATACTTTCTGTAGTTATTTTACTCAAGACATAAAGCAGGTACTGTTGAAAGTTGAACAAGCATGGTCAACTTGATTGGTGTCTTTTTTTAGATTGACTTAGATTTAAAAAAAAAATGAAGGATGCAAATAACAAGAGTCAAAGTTCCATGCCAAGTTTTTTGTTTGAGCTTTAGCCCTTTGTCAGAACTTTTAAATAAAAGTCATGTATACTAAGTATACCTTTGTTGTCACACTATCATTTTGCAACAGATTCTTGAAAAATATCTTAAACTTTGAGAACTTTTGTTCCCTCTGCTCCCAAATACTCAATCCTCAACCCATGTATTCATCTCTGTTTTCTTCTTAAGCCATATATGCCATGCTTTTGTCAGCAACTTGTCATTTACATGTATAAGAATAAAGTAATGATCATTAAGTTGTTTTTTTTTTTTTAGGTGGGAGGGAACAAGTCATCCATAATCTTCAAAAGTGGCAACAGGATGCCGGTAGATTTAAGATCAGCAGCAACACAGACCGACTCTCAGACTTAAAGAAGATTGCTTTGGAAAAGGACTATAGAATTTCTGACAATGAAGGGTCAGGAAATTGTATGTTCTATGCCTTGTCAGAGCAACTGGAGACTGTCAAAAGAGTAAAGATCCATCATTTTGAATTAAGACGTTCCTTAGTCCAGTATCTAAGAGAGCACCCAAAAAATGTGAGTATTTGGTAAGGTACGAATTACGGTCAACTCGCCGACGGACCAACTCGCCGACGCCAACTCGCCGACGTATAAAATCGAGTAGAGACGTCGGCGAGTTGGTCGTCAATCCAATACAACTTATTAGAAGTTAAACATACAGAAAATTAAACGATATTTAGTAAAAAAACACTGGTGAACATTGGTGAACATCTAACAGAAGCTTAAACATTGTTAACATCTTAAACGATGTTAACATCGCCAATGAACAAAATTGGCTGTAGATGCGAATGAGTTGTGTGAGTCATTGGTGATGTTTACTTCTCTTTATTCGCCTTGAGATCCTTATAAACTTTGTTGCAAATAAAAAGAAATGCTTTTTACTAAAGATCTTGTCTAGAAAGCCAAGTTTTCGTTAAAAAATCTGAGCGATTGACATGATGCGTCTTTACGGTGTTGTTGTCGCACAATAACTCGTTCGCGTCTTAAGCTGTTATAGTCATTGGTGATGTTCACCAATGTTCACCAATGTTTAAGCTTCTGTTAGATGTTCACCAGTGTTTTTTTACTAAATATCGTTTAATTTTCTGTATGTTTAACTTCTAATGAGTTGTATTGGATTGACGACCAACTCGCCGACGTCTCTACTTGATTTTATACGTCGGCGAGTTGGCGTCGGCGAGTTGGTCCGTCGGCGAGTTGACTGGTTACCTAAGGTACATGTAATGTCTAGGAAAGATACTACAAATGCTACTTCTGCTTCACATTCAAGTTAAATGTTGGGAATTATTATTTTTAGAACATTGTCAAGGCTTTGATCAGGAGAAAAATCAGTGTGTGTAATACATGAAGTTGAAGTTGACACAATTAAAAAGGACAACTTGTCTTTGTATCACTACAGTGTCTTTCTTTCTTGCTTTAACTTATTGCTGTCTTATTTTAGAACAACTGTGGGAAATACGATGCAGATGAATTTGTTTATAATCATTCATTTAAGTTTATCCTTTTTTGCAAGTATTTTAAAGATTAGATAAGTTAGTTGTAAAAATTACTCTATCCAAAGTACACAGGGAGTACTCTGAAGGACTATTGAGCCAAGCAATGAAAGGGTCTTGTATTTGTCTTTGAACACTTTTAAAGTTCATATTTATTATATGAAAATGTTACAATATTGAGTCATTACTAGACTAGTTGCTCTATTACTATTAATATTACATGTTATCTTGTTGGACTTTCTCTTGAAGGTGCATGGAACAGATCTGTTTCACTTTGTGGATGGACATGCAACATGGGGTGGTTACTTAACAGACATGGCACAAGATGGCACTTGGGGTGATCATGTGATTCTCTGGGCTGCAGCAAACTGTTATCAAATAGCCATTCATGTGATTAGTAGTCTTCCAGGCCATAGTGAAGTAATTATCAACCCAGATTGTCCATTTGACGAAAGCAAGCATCTTGTGCTAGGACATGTCCATGAAGTACATTATGTCAGCCTTCAGCCCTTGCAAGGTAAAGCTCAGAACATAACACTTTTAAAAACTGGCCTACTGTATCTGTGACTTTTGCAAACAGGATATTTTAAATATTTTAATGGAGTGCAATCTACAAGTTTATTTTACTCCTATACAGCTCCAGGCTGTACAGGTATGAATTACCATTTCATAGAAGCTTGCAGAGCTGATTGTTTTTATTTATCTGTGATGTGAACAGACCTCTGTAGCTTGTACATGTACTGTTTGTTTTGTTTACCCATTTCAGGTCTTGTGATATTTACTCTAGAGAACTTTTTCTTTCTTCTCTGGTCATGTTTTTTATAAATATGGATTACAGTAGTAATCAATATATAAAATCTTAACTTTAGTAAGTTTATCAGGGCTTCTTTTGCATAAGACATTCAGTATATTTTAATGATATATGTGGTTCCTCCACTACTACTACCACAATCATGATCTACTTGCCACTGCATGCTGTTTGGAATTGTTGTTAATCATTACTATTTTGTTGCATGCAGGTTCTTCAAAAATTAGGGCAACCTTAGCAAGGAAGGATAAGCGAAAAGCATCCATCAGTGCAGATCAGCCTTGCAAGCGACTCATGGAAGAGTTGACTAATCATGACTACTATGAAGGTAAATTGCTTACTCGTGAAAACAAAAAGTATTAATATGGGCTGGTACTTTGCATGCATTTCTGTCAATGCAGATCAGCCTTGCTAGTGACTCAGGGAAGAGTTGACTTATCATGACTACTTTGAAGGTAAATTGCCAACTCATGAAAATAAAAGTCCTCTAAGAGGACATGTGGTTACCGATATTTCAACAGACTTGTGTTTACAGTCGAAGTAAGGAAAGAATGAACAGCTAAAATGTCTCTGTAACATTCTTTGTGTAGTAACCAGTCTGATGAAAGAAGCCCCCCTCCTTTTATTTTACAAGAAATCAGATAGACAAAAATATGTGAAAGATTTTCTGAGACATTTTTGGTGATCACAGTTGTTGTAGCTTTTCATATAAAGAAAATAACAAAGCCTAAAACAATTAACAAAGATATTGTTGGCAGGTGTAAATTTGTTTTTGGTTCATGTCTGGCCCTTAGAAGAGCTAAAACAAATTTAATTCATCTACCACACAAATTACAAATAATTGCCAAAAAAACAAGCAAATTATTTCTTAATATGCTAGAATTAGTACCTAATGATTGTCAAAATATAAGATGATGAATGTTTTAGTTTTTTTTTTCACTCAGCTGGTAAGAACTGGCAATTGCACTTGCTTGCCTTCTCAGCAATTATCTCTCAGTTGCCAGATTTAAGTAGACGATTTCCGACAGTTTTTACTTTACTGTGCCACTTTTTTGTTCTTACCACATTTTGACGTCATCTGTGATCTATTACTGAACAGATGCATGGCAACTTGGAATCTATTTGTTTTATATAATAAAGAATTAAAAAGAGTTTTAATGATGACGTCATCTATACGTCTGTCCTCCAATAGATCATAAGTGAGAACCAACCAGAATGCATGCATAACTGAGCTTATTATATAAATATATATTTTTAATCTTCATCTTATTGTATTGTACATATTCATGTAATTCAGTCGTTTTACTGTAAAGTGTTTTAAATAATAAACGATATGACATTACTTCTGCCCTTCTCATGTAGAGCTAACCTTGGTACTTTCCTTCACTTTCAAGATAATGCTAGGCATTCCTTAAATAATCATGGTCAGGATCATTTTCCAGGAGCCACCCCAACACACAGAGAACTTGTCAGTCAGATAAGTGGTGCTCAGGGTAAGAAAGGAAACTTAAGTTCATAATTCGTTGTTCTTCATAACATGAATCTGATACTTTTTACAGTATCTTAGGTGGTTAAAAATGGTCTGTTTGTTACTTTCAAGAACTAGTTCTTTGATAAATTGTTGGTACCACAACTCTTTTTTTCCCTTGGAAAAAGTCTTTAAACAAATTGCAAACTATATTTGATTGTGAAACTTTTTAAAATTGGGAACACTTTGGTTCTATTCTAACCGTAAGTTTTGTACTTATGAACTACATTATAGTCAAAGACACATTACAAACCTCAAAACCAAATTCTAGTTGGTAACTTTGCTCTTTTTATTTTAATTTTTTAATTCCTAATTGGTGTTTCCCTTGAAGCACAATATCATAATTCAATAAATATCTCTGGTGTTCTGAGGTTCACAAACATTCTTCTATCATTTCTTTTTATCAAATTGTAAATGGCATATCCATGTTCACACTTCTGAAAAGTTCTTAAAGTCTGTTTTGTTGGTTGAAACCTACCTTGAATCACGTAGACACCTCCACTTCCTCAGAGTAGGAAAGGAAAATTTGCTCATAATTGTTAATTTGCTATGATAAATTGGTTATTTTGACTAAAACTGATGTATGTTGCTAAAAAGGTCTTCCCAGCTAGTGTGAGTTTACTCAGCAATTTTTGAGAGTCAGAGAAGTTAATTTTGTTTTGGTCAATTTTGTGTAGACCATGAACTTGCTGTGTTGAGAAGACTACTCAGTGCTGAGTACAACAGACGGTCTCTTTTGAAACCACTCTTTTGGATGAACACCATCAAGCTTGCCCTTGAGGATGTCTATACAAGATTGTCAATCGTTTCAAGGAGAAAAACAGACTTCTTGTTGGAAGGTAATGAAGTGGACATGTTTAACATCTTCAGAACTCTCCATAAAGGTGAGGATGCCATGGTTCTTGTAGAGGGAAGCCCTGGGATTGGAAAGACAACTTTTTGCCTCAAAATCTCTCATGACTGGGCAAACGGAACAATCCCAAATGAATCTTCTTTCCCATTGTTTGAACTTTTGCTGTTGCTAAAATGCAGAGACATCCATGGAGATGTAATGGAAGCTATTGTTGATCAGCTCCTCCCTATAGATATGGACCAAAATACTAAGAAAAATGTAGTACATTACATCAAGGATATTCATAACCAGGAAAGAATTTTGATCATTTTGGATGGCCTGGATGAGCTTCCTAAAACAGCAGAAAGTTCTGTGGACAAGTTACTTCACAGGCGAATTTTACCATTTTGCTATGTCTTGGCTACCTCTCGCCAAGAGAAGGGAATTGAAGTGCGGCAGAATGTGGACTTTGATGTTCTTTTGCAAATCAAAGGGTTCACGGAAGTGGATTCGTATGATTACATCAGGAAGCACTTCAGACATTTGGGTCATGATTATGAACCAAAGGGAGGATGGCTTATTAAGGCAATTCAGGATAATTCTTACTTACATGAACTTCCAAGCAATCCATTGAATCTTCTTCTCCTCTGTGTCGTGTTTGAAGAGTATGAAGGAAATCTACCATCTTGTCGCACTGACCTTTATCAGATAATTGTCCTGTGCCTTTTGCGGAGATATTGTGCCAGGCACAATGATGATGTAACTGCTGGTGCTGCTGGTGATGCTGGTGCTGGTAGTGACAAAGCTCTGATGAGGCACTTTGAAGACAGTTTGCTAGTTCTTGGAGAGTTAGCTTGGAGATGCTTGGAAGAAGGTCGATTTTCATTTCGTGAAGAAGAGTTGGTAGAATTTGAATCTAAACACGAGAGTCTTGCAGCTCGCAAACTTGGTCTTGTGTTCAAGGAAGCCAGCTTAAGGAAGATTAACCCACAGCATGGGTATTTCTTCTTTCACAAGACATTTCAAGAGTATCTGGCTGCATTTTATCTAGCATATAGGCTATTGAAACAAAAGATTGATTTTTTTTCTGAGTTGAATGTGTCCTTAATCAATGATATGATGGTGAGGTACAGACAAGTGTTCATCTTCATGTCAGGTATCCTGGGTGAGGAAGCTGGTCTTCTTTTTGAACAGATTGGAAAGAAGCTTAAGGATGTAAGCTGGGACTGGGACTGGAACAGGTGCAAGAAAGAATGGGCCTCTTTCTTTCATGATTGTTTCAGTGAGAGTAGAAATTATGAAAAAGTGGCAATGGCTCTTTGTTCCTTTATTTCATTTCCACAGACCATAACTATTGACTTATCAAAAATGGATAGATCAACAGAGTTGTTCGTTATTTTGAACGCCTGCACAAGTTTTTCACAGTTACAGCTTCCTGTTCATCTAGCAATAAAAAGTTCGAAAAGTATGGTTTTGGCTGATGTAAATAACGACCTACTAGCTGATTTCGTGGCATTCAACACAAGGTTACAAACACTTTCCTTTTCTGTTTTGGTTATGACAGAGGAGATTTCAACTCTTTTGTGTAGAGTACTCAGAGTGGACTCAACTGCATATTCCTTTACTCTTGAGGTTACTTGTTCCAATATTTCCTCAGTAGAAGTTGTTGCTATCAGTGACAGCTTGGCTGCAAATAAGACCTTGAAGACTGTAACTTTCAAACTGCCTTGTAAGATTTTAGAGGATTACGTTGCCATTCTTGACAAGGGACTATCTGCAGATACACCACTGACTTCCATTGTACTCAAGACTTTTGGTCCATGGATGGAAACTGAAGCAGAACTTTTAAGAAAGATTTTATTGAACAGATCAGGTACATCTCAAAGCCTTGCTGTTGGTGGAAAAATGCATGATTCATTAGCAACTTCTGTTAGTGAAGGACTTGTGGCAAATTCTTCTCTGAAGTCCCTTGCACTAATTTTTTGTGGAAAACTCAGCTACAGTGGTTTGAGTTTGTTAAAAGAAGGCTTTTTAGGAAACAGGTCTTTGGAGTCTCTGCAATTAAAAGTGTTTGGTGAGCTTCCTACAAATTGGGCAAATATTTGTGGGACTCTACAGTCTGCAATAAAGTCAACCACATCCTTTACAGTGTATCCAGATATTACTGGCATGGTTGGAAATTCACAGGTAGCTTTCCTTTGCCCTGTCCTGAAAGAAAACATTTCAGCTTCAAAACTACATTCAGTAACTGTCAACATTTGGGGAGAGTTAGATTGCAGTGGAGCAACTGATCTATGTAAACTCCTCATAGCTTCATCGGCTTCATGTGTCAATTTGAATATGAACGGAAGAATAACTGATAGTGTTGCTGACTGTCTTTTTAGACATTTTGACAAACTTGATACTCTGTCTTACTTGAGTATTGACATTCAGGGTGAGGTGATGGGAGACGGAAAGAACTCTCTTCAAAGGCTATCGAGCAACCAGATATATCTTTTTGCATTTAATGTTCATTCCTTCAATTCAGGCAACAAGATTTGCAGAGAGTTTTGTTTATCTACAGATGATTCTTCACCAATTACACCGGTATTTGCCAAAGTTAAGGATGGTTGTGTAACAAAGCTTAATGTGAGCATAAACAACCCTGGCAGCATCAGTGAAGACTGGAAATGCAACCTCTTTGAGGGTTTGGCAAAAAATGAGTGTGTAACTACATTGAACCTTGTATTCAATAACATTTACTTACTTGAAAACATAGATGCTCTGGGTGATGGTTTGGGGAAAAACACGTCATTGACTACGCTGAGCCTTACAGTCAACAATTACAGTTACATGGGAGGAGATTTGACAGGTGGTCTGGGTGATGGTTTGGGGAAAAACACGTCATTGACTACGCTGAGCCTTACAGTCAACAATTACAGTGAAATGGGAGGAAATTGGACACTTGGTCTGGGTGATGGTTTGGGGAAAAACACGTCATTGACTACGCTGAGCCTTACAGTCAACAATTACAGTGAAATGAGAGGAGAGTGGACAGGTGGTCTGGGTGATGGTTTGGGGAAAAACACGTCATTGACTACGCTGAGCCTTACAGTCAACAATTACAGTGAAATGAGAGGAGATTTGACAGGTGGTCTGGGTGATGGTTTGGGGAAAAACACGTCATTGACTACGCTGAGCCTTACAGTCAACAATTACAGTTGCATGGGAGGAGATTTGACAGGTGGTCTGGGTGATGGTTTGGGGAAAAACACGTCATTGACTACGCTGAGCCTTACATTCAACAATTACAGTGAAATGAGAGTATTATGGGCACGTGGTCTGGGTGATGGTTTGGGGAAAAACACGTCATTGACTACGCTGAGCCTTACAGTCAACAATTACAGTGAAATGGGAGTATTATGGGCATATGGTCTGGGTGATGGTTTGGGGAAAAACACGTCATTGACTACGCTGAGCCTTACAGTCAACAATTACAGTGAAATGAGAGGAGATTTGACAGGTGTTCTGGCTGATGGTCTGGCAAAGAACACATCGGTTGTTACCCTGAACCTTACACTCAGTAACTGGAATAACTTGTATGAAGACTGGATACATGGACTGGTTGATGCTTTGGTAACAAACATGTCATCAACTGCAATTAGCCTTGAAGTAAATATCTTTGGTGAAGGAAGCAAAAACTGTGAAAGTATTTTAGCGTAAAGACATTTGGTAGATCAGTGTAAGTAGTTGATTCCCCTTTTGATAAATTAGTGGAGAGAGCTCATTCAGGTGTAAGAAGCAGGTGTAAAACCCAAGATCTCTCTGATAAGATGAGAATACATGGCCAAAGGGCGTGAACGAAGGCCCGTAGGGCCTGAGCCCCTAGGGGGTCTGGGGGCATGCTCCCCCAGAAAATTTTTAAAAATTAGACCCTCGGAAATGCATTTTCCTGCACTCTGAGGCTCATTTTTTTAACTCTCTCAATCAAAAAGTAATGAAAATAAAATAGGGCAAAAACAATTATTAGACATTGTTATGAAATTAGTGAAGAACATGGTGTTAAGTGTCAAGTGGTTTTGCCTTGTCTCAAAGTTGACAAGTTGTCATTTTTGCGGAATTCTGCATTGGCGGGCGTGAATTGATAATTGGCAACTGAGTTTAACTGCTTGTTCTATTACATCTTTTGCTTTTGATACAGGGGCCCATTGATGGAAATTTGTAACAAGGAGTCAAGCATGTCATCTTTCAATGAATTTCAAAGCCTTATCTTTATTCACTTCAAATCGCTTGCGCCTCTTTCTGGCCAGGCATTAGTCACAGACAGGCTCTGGGCTACAGCAGACAACTTCATCAGGTTTGGAAACATTACTTTGAGTGATGAAATGCTGCATATCTTGGTTAGCAACCACTCAGTTGGAGTATTCCCTGGCTTTGGGAATCCTGTGCAACGAACTTGAGGTGTTCTCACTCAGACTTAAGGGCTTCAACCTCTACCTAATCTGTGGCACCAATGTGGTCTCCAAGTGTGGATATATGGTTCACCCCATAGCTCTTGAAATCAGTGGCTTCCTTTGCAGGGAGACATTGCAATGAAAGATTGAAATGGCTTGAACAAGTGGCAGGGAAGGGAATCTTGTTGATATGTTCTGTTTCAACCTTGCCATGTAAGTTGTAATTACATCACATTTCTTGAAAGAAGGAACTTTATGTAAGCCCCTTCTCTGTGACAAATACTGTTGAGCTCTCCCAATAGTAGGATAGTAGATATCTGTCAAAATCAAAATGCTTAACTACAAAGCCTGGAAAAAGGAAGGAAAAGGACTGTGGACTGCCTATACTTTTTTTTCATTAACTTTAGTCAATTTTCTAGGATTGAAAAGTAAGAAAAATTCAACTGATACTTCATTTATTTCATAGCACAGTGGTAATCAGTATCAGAGAAAAACACCCAGGCTTTGTGTGCTAAGCATACTTCACCTCATTTTTCTGATTTGATAAAATAGGAAATGCCTAGTCTAGTACCCAGACCTTTCATGGCCAAGTGGCTGTACAATTCAGTTAGAGGAGAGACTTTGAGAAAGACCTTCCTGTCTTAATTGACTCATCTTTTAGAAAGAAAGGTGTAATAGTTACTGCCATTTACTAAATGTCTTGTTACATGCACTCAGGTATCCAGTGAGTGTCATGTGCTTGATTGAAAATATGACAAGGGGCTGGTTACATCCTACATTATGGCATGTACAAGTGACGGTTCATGATGTTCACAATGTTCTGTACTTGGAGATCAATAATTCTCCTTGAGTGAAACTGGTGTGGAGTTCTATTTCAGTTTGAATTTATTTTAAATTCTTCCTTTATTTTATAGGACTTGCTGAACTCTCAAAAATATTTAAACTCTGCAAACCACTTAAGTCAACAGAACAGGTAAGGATTATTTTGTCATCACTCAAAAACTATGATAACACTTGTCATAGGAAGTAGGATTTTATCATTACATTGTAACTATCTGTTAGCCTATTTACTACATCATTGCTATAATAATAAAGTATTATCATTTGTCTCTCAATGTGATCACTTATGATGTAGATCAGGATGTTTTGACTGCATACTGCTAGTCTTCATCAGGTGATAAGGTTGACTGGATTAGGATCTTTTTATAAAGCAAGATGCACCACTGTAATTGGTTGTTTTTTTCTACCGCCATGATTGGCACGTTTCAACCCTTGATGTTAGTGAGTGTTCCCTTGGTGGTCTGCCGTCATATGGCTCTTCAGTTGTAGTGTTATTTTTTTTTGTTTTTTGTTTTTGTTTTTTTATAATGGGCATCCACACTTCAGGATTTTGTATTCTACTGTTCCTGTTGATGTTGTTAGGGTAAAGTCTTAGGTCTCTCTGACCCTTGGAGTGTACCAGTGAGGATTACAATCAATCAACTTAACCTCACTCCAAAGCAGTTGGTGTCCAGTGTTGTTGGCGTGCTCTGAAACAGCAGAGGTCTGGGCATGGGCTGGTCGGATATCTTGGTCATGCTTCTAGACTAGTGCAACTTTACTCCTGACACTTTGGTTATGTTTCTCTCCCTCTCTCACCCAGTCTCACTCTTCCATTTCCTCCTGATATCTCTCAGTCTGGTGTCACACATGGCTTGATTTTGTGAGTTTGAGCGTGTGGCTTGAGTTTGTGCTTGATTTTTGTGAAAAAATTTACCTGAAAAACGTAGAATTTAGGGCTTCCTTGTAGATGTGCCTTTGCTGAATTCCAGTATTGTTGTTATTGTTGCTGTTTATTATCATTAGTAGTAATAGTAGTTAGTAGTAGTACTATTTTCATAATTATTATTAGTAGTAGTAGTAGTAGTAGTATTATTATCATCTGATTTTAATTAATGTCATTATTCTTATTATTGGTGCTCAACTGTCTCCCTAACTCTTGCTGTATGTCTTCCCTTCTGACCCTCTTCCATATATTGTTTCACCAATTATTTATTTTTTGTTTTCATTTTAGATCCCTCACATGTTAGGCTGGATTCGCAATTCTTTCACAACCCTAGCCATGGGTGATTATCCTTACCCAACAGACTTCCTGGCTCCACTTCCTGGGCATCCTGTGAACTTGGCATGTAAAATGATGGCAAGTGCATCATCCAAGGTTGAAGGTCTGGCTGAGGTCACAGTATTAGTCTACAATGGCACTAATGGTACACTGACTTGTCTTGATCCAGATACAGAGTACATTGAATGTGCAGACCCTACTGGGTGTGGCCTGGGTCCAGACAGCCTTGCATGGGACTATCAGGTATTGGGTTGCATATCCTACTTATCCACAGTTCTAATTTCTCTTTACAATCTATCCCTTGAATCAAATGTTTAAGCTAGGAGAATAACAGAAATGATCAGCAACTAACAAAGCTCTTGATGGTTTTACAAATTCTCCTTGTTAGAACCTAGGAAATGTATAGAGAACAGTATGGAGAATATGCATAATGATGTTAGGGTGTAAAGGGTTAACCATGGTCTCCATGGGATATAGGAACTAGTTAGGATCATTGGCTAAGTATTATGTGTGCTGTACTCCATCTCTAAAGCTCCCAGTTCAAACTCTGATGGAATCACTGTGTTGTGTAAGAGGCTTCATCTATTCAGGATCTCTTTCTGTCCAGGGATGCATGGGCACTTTCTGGGAAACCAGGTGAAATGCTGGAGGGGTAACCTTGTCATGGACAAGCATCACAGCAAGTGGAGATGTTCAGTACTGCTTAACACTTCATGCCAATGAGATAATTGGATATGCATGTAAAGAATGGCTGGCTCATGAGCTGACGTGACCTTACCAGATTTTTTAAGTGATTATTTTATGTGAAGTTTCCTTCTTGAATCATTTTCTATAAAGAATGAACCTTTCTTGCCTGCTCATGCTCAGGAAACAAATGGCACATATAATCCAAGCTTTGCTTGTCCACTGAACTATTCAAGAATTTTGTTTTTTCAATTTGTCAAAATAAGATTTTTATTTTATCTTTTCAGGTTTGTGCTGAGCTTTCTCTTCCAGCTGGTTCTAACAACAAGACAGACATGTTTCCACCTCTGCCATGGACTCCAGAAATGATATCCACATACTGCCAGAAAAAATGGGGTGTGATACCTCAACCTAACTGGGCACCCATACAGTTCTGGGGGAAAGGTTGGTTTCCTTAAGACATTGAAATACATAGTAAGAGATCTTGTTAGATTGAAAAGGAAGAATTTTATTAAGGCAGCTACTAAAAACAGGGTAAGAATTGACCAATTGCTTTGCTACCTCATCTGGATGGGATGTTAGAGGATTGCTGTTGACTCTCCCAGACATGGTTTCCTTTGTAAGCTCAACTGCCACCAAAAAGCACTCCTGGTAGGAATGAGTGTGAATCAGTTGTTGTGCACAGCATGTGGTTGTGATGCTGAGCGGGGCTTGATTGAACCAGACCTTGTGATCTTGACTCTATCATACTAAGCATCAGGTTACACTATTGTTTCAAGTCCCATTTTCATAGATCCACTCCTTTTCCTTTCTGAATGGCAGCAATATCAGTATTTGATTTTAAAGTGATCCAGAATTTTTGTCAAAATTAGAACACCTGGAAAAAGTCCAGAATGTGCGATGACTAATCAGATGAGACTTGAAAACAAATCTTAAAACTAGGATTCCTGTCTGTATTGAAAATTGATGTATTGCTTGATGTATTTATTTTCCTTGATACAATAGTATTTCACACTTATTTCAGTGACCACAGTTTTCTGAGTTTCTTGGTTAGTGTTTAAGTCACTGTGAACTCTTCCTTATTCTAGTTTTATGGTCAGAGAATTCCTAATTGTAGTGCAAGAATAAAAAACATTTTATGGTATTAAATGGTTTTTCAGATATATCTTCATCTTCTAATATTATTTTTTCCAATGGTGACCTGGATCCATGGAGACCTGGTGGGGTAAGTTAATGGTTTTTGAAAAGCTCTTGTTGCTTCCATTATTGATGGAATCATAGATGGTTGTTGGATTTAAAATGTATTGATTGTATTTTAGGTGTTAGAAGATGTCTCACCAACACTGGTGGCACTTCTGGTCAAAGGTGGAGCTCACCATCTTGATCTGAGGTATGTTTTAACCTTTTCAGTGACCAAATTGATCAATATGAAAATTCTCCTTGCATTTTTCTTATAGAGGTTAAGCCAGGCAGGTAATGAGAATAAAGAAAATTGTCAGCTATGAGTTACCTCCTGATAGAAGGTCAATGTCTCTACTCTAGCCAATATCTAAACATATGATGATGTTTGAGAGAATTTTATCTGAGATCTTGGAGCACATTGGGTGGTAAATTCCTATTTGGAGATTTCCTTCATTCTTCCTGGTGTGCAACCTTCATTTTTAAATTTGTTTCTTTTTGGATTTATTATTAATTTATTATTAGATTTTTACCTGAAGGATAAACTTTTATCAGTGGTTCCTGATCTCCTTTGGTAGATTGCTATGTAGGTTTAAAAGAAAAGCATCTGCTTCAAGCTGGTTTTCACAATGTTTTCTGATAATTATTACTAGTTCAGTTTTATTAATTACTGATGTATATAATTTTGATATCCAGAGCTTCCAATCCACTGGACCCTCCAGCAGTGACACAAGCACGAAAACAAGAACTGGAACTAATCCAAAAATTCTTACATTAGAGCAACATTATAAATCTCAATGGACAATGACTACAGTTTTCTTATGCATCAATTCAATTATAATAACCAGACCTGTCTTATTTTGTGATGTATAAAAGAAATCGCATTTCAAAGAAAAGTCAATTTATGGTTCACAACTTCAAATAAAATTTACATGGAGCATCGAAACATGCTAATTACGAATTAGACCTTATGAAGGAATTTGAATTTTAATGATTTCATGCCAGAGACTAGACATGAGACTTGGATGAGATTCAAAAGCCTTGTGTTGGTTTAATGCTGTTGATGAGTGTCTTTTTAAGAACAATAAACTTTTTGATAATAACATCTACATTTTCTCGTTTTTGTGTACGCGTTTTTGTTTGTTTTAATCCAATAATCAGCCCGATTATAATGATGTTTCAGTGGTCTCGGTGACGTGACAGGTCGAATGATTCGTCACCCAAAGTCACGCAATCTAAAGGTTAGCTTGTTACAAAACCCTTACGTGCAACTTTGTACGAAGATGACTCCCTGCGCGGAGTTTCTTGTCGTGGTTTCTTCTTATTTTGTCGTCGTGGGGGCTACTATTCCTTACAAGACAGCTTATTTTGGGCAAGATCTCGATCATTTCAACTTCGTCCAAGCCAGTAAGGTCACGTTTAAACAGCGATATCTCTATACAGGTATCTACTAAGGCGCTTACCGTAATTTCTGACTCGAATGGAGCTTTGGAGGTGAAGCTGTTTAGTTTGTTAGAGAGCCCGGTTAAATCTTATGTCTCTCTTTCCCAAAGCTGATGTAATCGACACTGTGAGAAATCAGGTTCTACTTTAGTTTATTTATAAAGTTCACCTTCTGTGAGATTACATAATTTGTTGGAACGAATGATCGTCTCAAGCAAACAAAACAGCTATCCCACTCTTAGCCAGCATGTCATCGAACTGAATTTTAAAAGTATGCAATACCTCTGAGAATGGAATCACCCGTATTTTAACTGAATTTCTCTTAAACAATTTAGTAATTGTGCTGAAGTGAAGAAAACTTGAGTAAGACATGTTGAACAGTAGATGAGCTTGGAGCAATCACTATGTTGGGAAAAAGAGAGGCTATGAGGATTAAAAGCGACACAGATTAAATATTTTGAATACATTTGTGGCTCAGTGTTCTGATTTTCCTCCTTTTTTTGGAAGGGGGTGGACTGGGTGGGGGAGGAAAGCCTTGGAAAGGATCACAGAAAATCCTATATGGCTGCATGCCTATCTTAGAGGGGAAGAGGGGACACCCATAGGAAACAATTTCAATCTGCAACTGATTGCCTATGTACTATAGACTTGTGAAGTAAAAAATAGCTTTGAATTGAAGCCTGGAATCGAAGTAAGTCAAGAACCAGGTGCTGAATGCACCCCTCCCCCCCCTCCCCCCCAACAAACGGCATTTGCAGCAGTATCTTTAAAGGTTGGTTACTGGAGGTCTATCGCTGCCTATAAGACCTCTTACGCCTGTTACACAGCTGTCTCTTACACCATCAGCAGCCACATATGGAATAAGTTATTGAAACCCCATGCCAGTATTTAGAATTTGTCTTTCTGAGGCCTTGAGACACCAGTTTTGGGGCCTGTTTCCTGAGGATGGCTTGTGATACTTGCAAAAACATGGAGGTGTTCTGAGTGGAATAATTTGTTAAGCCCATTGCTAAATTTTGTGTCACAGATCAGTACTGGGATGAAAAAGGACCAATTTTCTTTTACACTGGCAATGAAGGACCAATAACTAGTTTTTGGGAAAACTCAGGCTTTGTTTTCGAAGCAGCTCAGAAGTTCAATGCTTTGGTTATTTTTGGTGAACATGTGAGTACACAAGGATGCTTTGTGTGAATGTTGGGTAAAAATTTCCGCACAGCCCCATACTATTGTAAAACAAATCTGTTTTCCCAATGGCAATGTATCGTTTTTGTCATTGTTTTCTCTATCCAAGAACTGAATGCATAATGTGGTATGGGGCTGTGCGGAAATTTTACTGAATGTTGAATATCTGATGCTCTGATTTCTAGCAAGCAAAAGTGCATTTTACCTTTAATTTGTTGTGCTCTGTCTTCATCCTTTTTTAGAGATACTTTGGAGATTCCCTTCCATTTGGTTCGTCCTCATTTGATCATGATAAAGTTGGTTACCTTTCAGTGGAGCAAGCCCTTGCAGACTATGCTGTCCTATTGACTGATCTTAAGATTCAGTTTAAGGCCACAGAGAGTAAGGTTGTTGCTTTTGGTGGCAGGTACATTGTAATATAACTTTTAAAAAAAAATTACAGTTGTTGTGGTCACCTACATAGAAACTACAGCATTTGTAATGTTGTAATTCATTTTCCATGTGACTCAGCAAGGTCTCAGAAAGTAAAGTGCTCTGATGACATATTCTGTAGCATTAATCTGTCCTTGATTGGTTTTCAGTTATGGTGGAATACTGAGTGCTTACATGAGGTTCAAATATCCAAATGTAGTTGATGTTGCCTTAGCAGCCAGTGCTCCAATTTACATGACCACTTTCCAGGGTAGTGAAAGAGACTCATTCTTTGCTGCAGTGACAGAGGTGATGGCTACAGTTTTTATAACTTGCATAAGAACAATCAATGATTGAATATTCAAGTTTTTATTGTTATTTAGTTGTGCTACAACATTTCCTTGCTGATCATGCCTACTGTATCAACTGTTTTAGTTTCTTCTCTTGTCCAGCTTACTGATCAGTGATTCTCCCCATAACATCAAGGAAATGACTAATTTAGTTAATAGTTGTTCATTTGGTAAAAGAGTTGAGAGTCTATTAATTTTTCTCCTTCTTGAGAATTATGCTGGTTAAATGAGGAGAATGATATATCATTTGTTATTTGAGTTAATTGTAGACAAAAAGTATTTAAACTTATTTGGTGATATTTAACAATTATGTTAATTTCTGATGATGTTCATGAAAGATAAAACTATCAACAGTAACTGCCAAACTATTTTGTTTTCATGTTTCAATTTATTCAGTTAATTTAATTAAGTTTTTTTGTAATTTTTGTGTTTTAATTTCAAGGACTTTTTAAATGCTGATGCTAATTGTCCAGGTTATGTTATTATGGCTTTTGAAATGATTGAGATGCTGAAAAATCAAGGATCAAAAGGTACATTAAATATATTCATTAAGTCGGTAAATCAGTCTCTTTTAAGAAAACTTTTCAAGTAAAATGTCAAAATCAAAACCAAAGTATTCCTAATTATGGATTATTAACAAAGTTAACTATAACAAGGAGATAGATAACTCTTATTTAAAGGCAATTGCATGCGTGGATCTTTTAACCAAGTCACTATGTGTGAAACTGATCTGGAGTTTTATTTTGATATGCATTTATTTGAATCACATTATTTCATGTAGGACTTGCTGAAATCTCAAGGATATTTAAACTCTGCAAACCACTCAAGTCAACAGATCAGGTAAGAATTATCTAATTACCATCACACAAACACAACCATGACAGTGAAGTGAACACAGTTAAAAATTATTTGGAGCAGCATTTAATGACCCCATGGTAATTATTTGTTAGTTTATTTGCCAGATTACTTCCTATCTTCCTTCCTCTCCGTCATTTCCTGTTCCCTTTTTCTCCCACCCACCCTCCCTTCCACCCTACCTCCCTCCAACCCACCCTCCCTTCCACCCTACCTCCCTCCAACCCACCCTCCCTCCCTTTCACCCTCCCTCCCACACTTCCTCCCTCCCTTCCACCCACCTCCCACCCTTCCACCCTCCCTCCCTTCCACCCTCCCTCCCTCATTCTCTCCAAAGCAAAGATCAATGATACAGGAGGGAGATCACTTGCCTTCCAATCCCATTGCTGTGGCCTTGGTCAGAATCCATAACCTTGGGTCACTTGCAGGTGAGTTATTTATTGATTCTCATTGAATCAATCCTCATTTGACTAAGAAACAGAGGATGCAGGGCTGTGTTCTGGATTTGTCACTGCTTAATTCCTTTATTGTTATTGTTATTTATATAACTGTTATTAGTGTTACTTAATTCTTTTCACAACTTTTGTTTTATGTTTTCTTTCCTTTGTCCTTTGTAGATCCTCCATTTCATCCATTGTTTCAATTGGCCCAATAATTTGGTTTTTGTTTTTTTGTTTTCATTTTAGATCCCTCACATGTTACATTGGATTCGCAATTCTTTCACAACCCTAGCCATGTGTGATTATCCTTACCCAACAGACTTCCTGGCTCCACTTCCTGGGCATCCTGTGAACTTGGCATGTAAAATGATGGCAAGTGCATCATCCAAGGTTGAAGGTCTGGCTGAGGTCACAGCTTTAGTCTACAATGGCACTAATGGTACGCTGACTTGCCTTGATCCAGATACAGAGTACATCAAATGTGCAGACCCCACTGGGTGTGGCCTGGGTTTAGACAGCCTTGCACAAGACTATCAGGTAGTGGGTTGGATATATTACTTGCCTAGTCAAGTAACTAATATAATTGCTATGTTTAACCATAGTCTCCATGGGATGTAGGAACTAGTTAAAGATTACAGTAACTACCACTTACTCTGGCTTAGAAAAATTCAAGATTTGGGAAATGTGGGGGCTTTATACATGCTGGACTTCAGATCTAAAGGTCCCAGGTCAAACTCTGACTGACTGGACTGTGTTGAGCAAGACATGTAGCATTTTCTGGTTGTGTTTCTTTCTGTCATTAAACATCAAAATGAGATTTATATTTCATCTTTTCAGGCTTGTACTGAGCTCACTCTTCCAGCTGGTTCTAACAACAAGACAGACATGTTTCCACCTCTGCCATGGACTCCAGAAATGATTGCAACATACTGCAAGAAAAAATGGGGTGTGGTACCTCAACCTAACTGGGCACCCATACAGTTCTGGGGAAAAGGTTGATCTTGAAATACATAGTTAGCATAGTTAAGGCATAGTTAGAGCTCCTGTGAGCATACTTAGAGCTCCTCACAAAGCAGGAAAAGTATCTATGACTGGAACAAGCCATCTATGGGATTGTGTGAACTCAGGGATTGTGTGAAATAAGAAAAATGAGGTTTTGTTGAGGCAGCTGCTTAACCACTGATGTTTTACTTTGTAAATGAATGGACAATATATCATGTCCCATGGATGGGATGCTTAATCTTTTCAATTAACTCCCTAGTATTCTGCCAGGTTCCACTTCCCCTGCTGCTGAATTTCCACCATCCCCCCCCCCCCAAGATGCTAAATTTGTTCAGTTAAACCCTCAGCATTTTGCCAGTTTCCATTCCCCCCTCCCTTTCTCCCCCCCCCCCCCCCCCCGAAAGAGCTCAACACTAGAAA